CCTTCCTCCCTTCCTTCCCTCCTTCCCCAGAAGTTGGAAATTAACCCCTCAAAGCCTGGGGACCACTCTCCAAAGCATCCCACACCTCTGGGGGCTCAGAGGCACCGCCTGCATTTGCAAAGCTGGTGCTGTAAAGGGTTAAGCCTTGGCCAGTGACCCCCAACCATCCAGGCCCCTTCCCGCATTCCCACATTCAGCTTTTGTGAGAGAAACCCATTCACAGCCTTTTTTTTCTCTTTTTTTTCACCCTTCCCTTCTCCTGCCTGAACCATCCCTCCTCCCCCCCGCGGGGGCAACACGGAGATTTACAGCCCCTTCCTGAGGAAGGGCTGGGGTTTCCCTCCTCCCCTCGAATGCCAGGGGTACCCCCCCGACCCCCACAGTGATTTAGAGGCTGTGCCTGCACAGGGTTTGGAAGTTTAGAGTGCAAAGAAAAGGGGTGCTCTGGATGCAGCAGTGCAGATTCAGAATGAACAGCAGCATTTTCATATTTATGATGAAAATGCAATTTTTTGAAAAATCTTTTTTTTTTTTTTTTTTTTTTTTTTTTTTTTTTTTTTGCTTTGCCAGCTTCCTTTTTTTTTGTCAGCTTTCAGATCTGCATATGCAAACTCAGCCTGATGATGATCAGCTCTCGCTGTGCTGCAGGGAGGCACCTGAAGGCTGATGATGATGGAGAGGCACCAAGGGAGATGGAAGAGCTCTTGCCTGAGTGTTAAAACTGTCTGACAGAGATCTACAGCTGCGTGGGAGCTCTTAACAAGGAATCTCAGAATCCCAGAGATGGGTCAGGCTGGAAGGCATCACAGTGGGGTCAATTGGTCCAGCCTCTGCTCCAGCAGGGTCATCCCAGAGCTCAGGGCACAGGGTTGTGTCCAGATCATTCTGGAAATCCCCAGTGAGGAGACTCCAGACCCTCTCTGGACAATCTGTTCAGTGCTTGGTCACTGCACAGGGAAGTTCTTCCTCCTGTTCCCTTCCTGGGATCAGTCTCTGCCCATTCCTGTTATCCTATTGCTGGGTCCCAAAGAGCAGAGCCTGGTCCACCAAGCACGTGGAGGTTCAACATTTTCAGCAACTTCTCATCGAAATAAAAACTGAGCCTGTGCCCGTGAACCAAACAGCAGCAGGGAGCAGACAGGCACAGGGTGAAACAGCCCCTGGCCTGGTTTTGGTGTGGGATGAGCAATCCCAGCACATGGCTCAGGAATGACCGGGACTGGGGCCCCTTCCTGACAAACAAGTTGGATTCAGCCACCCAGATTTGATAGCCAGGAGCATTGGCCAAAGGGACCAGACAGGATCAGGGCCAGAGCCCAGGTGTAGCAGGGTGAGTTTGCAGCAGAGGTGTTGCTCCCAAGGCTGGGTGTCTGTCTGTCTGTCTGTCTGTCTGTCTGTCTCCTCACAGGAACAGACCACACACTGTCAGCCTCTCCCTCTGCTGTAAATGTTTATTTTTAATTCAGTTGTGTAATGGATTTCAAATGAGCTGCCATAAGATAGCAGTGAAAGGCTGCAGCCGCACCCCTCTGAAGCCAGTCCGTGGGGTTTGAATGTTTTTTGGCCTGGATTTATCTTGGATAAGTTGTCTTCATCCAAAAAAAAACTGGTAGGGAGCTGCTAAAGAAGAGCTGTGCTCCCACTGGTGATGCTCTAACACCAACCATGTGCAGTGGACACCTGAAATTAGGTGTGATCAGTCAAAATAAACCTGTGCAACACCAGCTCTGTCCACACCTATGGCTCAGTATTTTTTTCCTTTCCTCAGACACAAGGATTGCACACAGAGCTGCAGAGGCTGCCAGTTCCCACAGCATCCCTGGGCAAAGGACCTTTTCCAGAGGACTGCTGAATTCTTGGGAACACACAGATCCAAGCCTGAGTTTTTGCTGGGATGAGCAAAGCCCAAGCTGGAAATTGCTTGCTGTAGTGGTAGTTTGTAGAATCTTGGAAGGATTTGGGTCAGAAAGGACCTTAAAGATCCTCTCATTCCACCCCCTGCCAGGGGTAGGGGCACCTTCCACTATCCCAGGTTGATCCAAGCCCTGTCCAACCTGGCCTTGAACATTTCCAGGGATGGGGCAGCCAGACTTCCTTGGGATGCCCTGTGCTGCTCTGAACACCACAGACTCTGTAAGGTGCCTTAGAGCCCCCTGAATCTCACCTGGATCTTCTGAGCTGCCTCTTACCACCCAAAATGGGCAGAAATGACCATTCCTTTATCACAACAGCATCTCAACTCAGTTTGCATTTGAACCTTCTGCTTCTTGACCCTTCTGCTGGATTTGGGTGATTTCTCCCTGCAGGTATCCTGCTAACACAGCATGGAGGAGCTGGATCTCCTGGCAGGCTTGTGTGGCCATTCTGTGGGACCAGTGCTGGAATCTTGCAGGAGCATCAATGGTTTCTTCTCAGCTGCTCCCCAAATAAATGCTTTTTCTCTAAATCCCTGTAAAAAAACTTACTGAAGTACTTGAAGGGAACATACAGGAAAGCTGGGACAAGAACATGGAGTGATAGGACAAAGGGCAAAGGGTTCAAATTGAAAGAGAGTGTCTTTAGATGAGATATTAGGAAGAAATTCTTCCCTGTGAGGGTGGGGAGGCCCTGGCACAGGGTGCCCAGAGAAGCTGTGGCTGCCCCTGGATCCCTGGAAGTGTCCAAGGCCAGGTTGGATGGGGCTTGGAACAACCTGGGATAGTGGAAGGTGTCCCTGCCCATGGCAAGGGGTGGAACTGGATAATTTTTAAGGTCTCTTCCAACCCAAACCATTCTGTGATCCTGTGGTTCCCTGGGGCTCAGCCTTCCCAGCACGGGAAGAGGAAGCTGTGGTGCTCCCAACCATCACCATCCCATGCTAGCCAGGAGCAGCCTCCACCAGGAGATTTTCCTGTACCAGGAAAGTCCTCTGGCATGGCTGGAGGATCTCCTGGGAGCAAATCAACCTGGAAACGTGGCAGTGGCACCTCCAGAGGGCAGCAGGTCTCCAGGTGATGCTGTCCCCTGTGTCCCCAGGGGTGCAGAGGTCAGCTGTGGTCACCTGGCTGCTCACCTCCATGGAGCACTGAGGCACCTGGCACTGGCCTGTTTCAGTCTTCACAGAATCGTGGAATGGTTTGGGTTGGAAGGGACCTTAATTCTAATTCCAATCCCTTGCCATGGGCAGGGACACCTTTCCCTAGATCAGGTTCCTTCCTTGGGGTATCTACTTTATTTTCTCTATGGGTTTCTCCCAAGTGAGTCAAACGTCAAAGACCAAAACAAGGAAAATTGTGCCTGAAATCCTACCAAAGTAATGGTGAGAATTTTCAGCTCATTTTTTTCCCCAAATGTAAAAGTAGACCTATTTGGTGATTCCATAACTAACTTTGTAAGTGTGTGCATTGAGTTAGTGAATTATTCTTCCCTGAACTAAAAAAAAAAAAAAATCCCAAGACCTGAAGATATTTATGTATATATTAATATATATATATTTATTTCCAAATAAAATCAAGACCCTTTCCAAAGATTTTCACTGATTTGTAATGGCTTTCCTTTGATAAACCTACTAACCCAATTCATTGCAGCAATCCATAAAAGTAAAAAGCATTTAAAATCTCAGGACTGATATATATGTTTTCCACTTATTTTCTTTGCTGGAAAAAAGGGATTTCAGTTCCACTTTCACTCAAAATATTTGTTGCAAATTAATTCCAGAAGTGCCAGTGAATAAAAATTCCTCCTCCAGTCTTACCTGTCCACCCAGTAAGGCTTCATTACTAAAACACAGAGGACTGGATGGGTCTTTAAAAATGCTGTGATTGCCCTGAACTAATTTCCTAGGCTTTGTGAGGAAGGGAAAGGTGAGAAAAGCCCATCTCAGACTCTAGTTTTAAATTGGGGTGAATGAAGGGTGGCGTCCAAGCTGCAGCTTCCCCCCTTGTCACCCCAGCATCACTTCCTGTTCACTCCTGCAGCAAGAGCTGGGTGAAAGTCCCTGGATTTGTCACTGATTGTCAGGGAACACAGTTCTGCTTCAGCAATTGCTGGCTTGACAAACACAATCTGGACAATCTCCTCAACCTTGGACAATAAAATGAAAGATTGGATTTTTTTTTCTTTCACCCCAGCTGTTGGTATTTCTTTTTCTATTTCTAAACCAAACTGACTCTTTTGGGGACATTAAAAAGTGAACAGCACTTGAATTGTGTTTGCTTGTTAGATTCCTCTGCTTTGCTGTTTGTTCAGACTCATGAACGAGCCATAAAATCAAATGTCTGCAACACTCCTGATGTCCACTATTCCAGAGAGATCCATACTTTGGAATTTGCATCCTGACAACTTCCCCTGCAGAAATCCATCAGAAGAAGAGTGTTATTACAGCCAGTGGTGATCCTTGAAACTGCAGGACCAAGAGTGAAGATCCAACCTTCTCTTAAATAATATTTTCATCCCTCATCTCAAAAAAAGCTGATAAACATCCCATCACTCAGCCAGGATCCCTGTTGTCCTGTTTGGTGAGGCTCTGGCTGGTTTTCCTTTCTCCTTGTCTCAACGTGCAGCAGATTTATCCAGAATCCAGCAGGATCAGGAGGTGACACTCACCATTTTCCTGGCCTTCGGATGGGTTGGTGTGTCTGGAACCCTGGGGGTGAGGGTGAAGATGAGGATGATGGAGCTTCACAGCATTGCATGGCAAAAATAGGAAGGACCTGGAGCTTCTGGAGTGATTCCAGAGGAGGCCACGGAGCTGCTCCAGGGGCTGGAGCCCCTCTGCTCTGGAGCCAGGCTGGGAGAGCTGGGGGTGCTCACCTGGAGAAGAGAAGGATCCAGGGGGAGCTCAGAGCCCCTTGCAGAGCCTAAAGGGGCTCCAGGAGAGCTGGAGAGGGACTGGGGACAAGGGATGGAGGGACAGGACACAGGGAATGGCTTCCCACTGCCAGAGGGCAGGGATGGATGGGATATTGGGAAGGAATTGTTCCCTGGGAGGGTGGGGAGGCCCTGGCACAGGTTGCCAGTGAAGCTGTGGCTGCCCCTGGATCCCTGGAAGTGTCCAAGGCCAGGCTGGATGAATTTGGAGCAACCTGGGATAGTGGAAGGTGTCCCTGCCCATGGCAGAGGATGGAACAAGATGAGCTTTATTTTCCCTTCTCACCCAAACCATTCTGTGATTCTTTGGTTCCCAAAGACCCTTGGGAGTGGAAGGCACTGAAATCCCCCAGTGCAGTGAGATTTGAGCTGGGCCTCACCCAGGGCAGCTCCAGATGGCCTCTGGGTGCTCAGCACAGGCAGAGCTCCGTGCAGTGCCACCAGCAGTTAATTGCACAAAACAGGGAAGACAGAGCTCACAAAATCTCACACACAAGTGATAAAGAGATATCAGGATGTGCTGTCAGCTGTCTCCTGTGCTCTTCCCCCTATGCCCTAAATGGCATCAGCTGTCTTGTACTCGTTGAAGAAAGGAGGAAGAACATGGCCAGAGTCTTTAGGTGAGATCTGAAGCAGAAACAGAACCTCAAATGGAAAGTGAGCGAGGTTACAGCCCCGTAACCCAGCTGATTACAAAAAAAGAAACTTCTCAGGCTTGAACCTGACTGGTGATAAGCTCTCTGAAAGTCAAGTGCATGCAATAAATAACCCCACCCCTTCTATTGGCTCTCAGGCTGCTCTGAGCTGTGAATGGGCCAATTTAGACAACCCCAGACCCACATTTCTCCTCCCATTTTCAGACCAGCTTTATACTCTGAGGCTCCAGGCGATGACTTTCACCTCACCCCTGCTTGAATGAGAGCAATTCAGGGCCCAGTTTGCAGCAGGACTGGACTTCTTACAGCCTGAGGAGCCTCTGTGGGTTCTTCTAAGGTAGACCCCATTCTAATATTAGCAGTGTGTGAGAAGTGTGGTCATACTGCCAGCCCTCCTCTGCTATAAGTGTAACAAACCAGCTCCATTTGTCATTCAGCTGTTGGCAACAGGAAACCACCAACAGCAACTCAACACACGACAACCAGGAGAATTAGGGTTTTCTCTTTCTGCAAAGTTTGAAATTCGTCAAAAGGAGCTGATAGTCCCAAGCTGATGATCTGGAAGGGGTTTTTCAACTCTGGTGCACAGCTAAGATTGAGTGGGATATGATTTAATCTGAACACAGGACACTCAAGGTAAGTGCAAATGATTTTCCAGCAGTTTTCCTTCCTTCCTGCTGCCTGTTTGTTGCCTGGTGTTCCACTGGGTGATTCCCTTAGGGTATTTAAAGATTTGGCTCATCTATGGACCAGTGATTTTGAAGGATTAAGATGGGACATCCAGTGAGCCAAACTGCTGCTGTGGACCAGGATAGGGAATGTGTCTGTCTTTCCTTCTGGCAGCTTCCCAGTGCTGGAATTGGGCAGGCTCTGAGGTGGGACTGATGCTCACCCAGTGGGTTCTCCCAGGTGAACTTTTTTTCTCTTAAAAATAGTGAAAAGTAGATGATAGCCAAGAGTGAATGAGTTTCATCCAACTGAATTTCTTGGAAATGAGAGTGACAGGAGAAAATCAGGGAAATCAGGGACCCAGTTCTGAAGCTAAGGGAATTTTGGGTGCTCAGCTCCCAACACAGCAACTTTTGAGCGCTGTGGACAGTGCGGGAAAGGGTCGAAATTTTAATTCCCTGTTTGTAGAGATGCACATTTGGGATTTTTGAGAGTTTTTGCTTTCTTCCACCCCAAAGATGGCTTAAATGGTCTCACTGGATGCAGTACTTTTTTTTAACCAGCTCCTCCACTCCAAAGTTTATGGTGGTTGTAGACAAAGCTTCTTGCAAAGTTGGAAATCTCCAAGGGAGCTATAGGAAGAGTGGACTTGCTGCTTCTATCCTGCTCACTCCCCAGGATCTACTCTAAGCCTATAACTTTCATTCCTGATTAAAATTTAGGTCAGGCTCAAAATTCCAGAGCTCTAAGTTGGAGCATGGATATTTCAGGATCTCTGTGCTTGCTGTGGCACTTTTGGGAAGGAATAGCCCTTGCTGTGTTGTGGGGTATTTGCATCTCAGACCTCCTCAGGTGTTTCCTTGGGGCTTTGTGGCTGATGATGCCCCACTGAATGCTCTTCAAAGTGCTTTAGTTACCCCACTCATGATTTGGGGCTATTTCTTACCTGTCATGATGGGCTGCTTTGATATTTAATTGATTATGGAACTTTAACAGTGCAAAACCAAAACGCTTCCAGCAGTGAGGGTTCCTGCAGCATGCAGAGCACACACACATGGTCTCAGCTCGAGTACATGCTGGAGATGGAGAAGGCAGATGGAAATGAGGAATAAAAAAAGGACAGCTGCAGGGCAGCCCAGGCACCCTCATTAGTATGCTGGGTCAGTCATTCTGTCAAGGTTTAAGTCATTTTTATCAGAAGATTCGAGGGCTGCAGAGCTTGTGATTTCTTGTTCATATTCTGCTTTCTTCTGCCAGACCTCCTGCAGCATTTCCATTATATTGGTACCCAAAAGTCAGTGAAAAAGCCCTTCTGGCTCATTCTTGTTTTGTTCTGCCAGTACAGGGCTATTGCTGTCCCGTGAGGATGGCAAAGTCAAAACCTGAGTTTTCTGGTGGAGGAGGAAAGACCCAGGCATATTAAAGCGAAAATTTTACAAAGGTGCTTCTGATTCTTCTTCTCTTTTTTAATTAATAATATTATTAATATTAATGTATTAATTTTTATATAATTAATGTTATTATTTATTTTATTCTTCTTTTATCATCTCCTTTCCAATGAATTCCCATGTTCCATTTAATCACTGTGGGGTGTTCTGGGATGCTGTAATACCCTGGACTTTCAGCTGACTTGGTGTGCTCCCAGCTCCTCTAACTAAATCCAAAATATCCCAGAATGGGCATCCCATTCCCTCTTAATTTGGGCTGTGTGTCCCTTTCAAACACGGCCATCAGCTCCTTTATTTCTGCTTTGTGACTTTCTTCCTGTCTGACCTTACAACCTTTAATTCTCTGTGGCACCTTGATGGGCATATCAGCATCCAAAAAGGCCTTGAGGACATTTTCAGAAACAGCTCAGGTTTTCTGTCATCTCCAGCAGGTGTGGGAAGGGGGGATTCACATGGGTGGATTTCACAGGGATGTGCTGAGCAGAGTAGGAGCTCCTGGGCATGCTGTTACTTCATCATTATTTGCAGTCCTTCCTTCCTTCCCCTCATTCTTTCCATTCCATCTGTGTTAAAAAAGGAGTTTCCTCACTGCTCCTCCACGCTTCACCAGCCTCTGGAGGCAACCAAGCATTGCCTCCATGTGGGTGAGTTCCCTTGTAGCCAATCATTTCCTGCAGGGCTTCTATCAGGGGCAAAAAAAAAAAAAAAAAATCTTTCAGGACACCTGGGACTAAATCCTGCTGGAATCCTTGCCAGCCCCAAAGTTTCCATCCATGTCTTAATTCCATGTGGTGCAAGTCAGCTTTTTCATTAGGCTGACTCCACATTGCAAGATTAGAAGTTGCTGGAGGGGGTAAAAAAGGATGAAATTCCCCCTTGCAGAGGTCTTGGCAACAAATTACAGCCCCAGGGTCTTGATGCTGCTTGTGGAAGGAGCTGTTGCACCACCGGACATCACTGGACAGAACAGGCAAGGCAGAGTCACGGTTCTTGCTTAAAAAGAAATAGGAATGTAAACCAGAATAACAATATTTCATGTTGAACAAGACATTTGCTTCTCACAGGTCATCTTATTATCCATACCAGGTTTAAATCCATCACAATATCCAGCCAAAAAAATCTCCCCCCACCACCAAAACCCAAACTCAAACCACAGCAGCTCCTTGTGTTGAAGTAAAGAAATGGGTTTCAATTATAACTTTTTCCAGGAAAAAGCTGCAATTGAGCAGGAGAACAATGGTCCTGTGGTTTCACAGAGCAATTTTGTCTTTGTTAATGCTGGTCAGTTTTAATTTCGAAAATGTTGTGGCCTTGCCTATTCAAACTTCCAAACCCAGTGATAAATGCCTGAAGGAGAGAGACAGGGTTGAGCAAAGGTGTGGGGAGTGTGAACTGTGTGGAATTACTGCCAGAAATGATGTTGCTCCATTTGCTGGAGACACAGCAAAGAGGGAGGGAATGAACTTGCTGTCCACTATGGAATTATGGAATGGTTTGTGTTGGAGGGAACCCTAAGGATCAGCTCATTCCCACTCCCTGCCATGGGCAGGGACATTTCTACTATCCCAGGTTTTTCCAAGCCCTGTCCAACTTGGCTTTGGACACTTCCAGGGATGGGACATCCACCATGGGCAGGACAGGCAGTCATGAGTCTTTCAGTGAAGCAAATTAGGGGTGGTTATTAGGAAGTTTTTTAAGGCTATGGGAATTGGAGAGCTGGGATAGAGTGATGGGAAGCAGTGGGAATTTCCATCACTGAAAGCTTTGAAGTACAAATTAGGGGGTCTCTGAGATTAATGACCTTCATGGTGCCAGTCCTACATTTCTGCCACCCTGTGAAATACACGTGGCTTCTGAACTGAAATGTGCTTTTCAAAATCATCCTCCTGCATTTCCATCTCTTTATTTATTTACTTACATACTCATAAAATAGTTTTCCAAATTTAACCTGATCTCACTGACGATTCCTGCTCCCCTGGAAGCCGTGGAATGTATTACTGATCAAAAAGCAGCCAGCAGCACCCCTGGGGTCCTGTGTGTCAGGCACGTAGGAGACACAGCAGAAATAATAAACACATGGCTCACAAATGAATTCTTTGCTACTTAACAAGCAGAGAAGAATGAAAAATTACTCGGTGTCCAGGATATCTGGTCTGCCTTGGTGATGGCAGAATCAGGAATTATTTTGGTGGATGAAAGTTGGGTGAAAAGCTTTTTGTCCCTTGATAAAGGGACCTTACAGCCAAGAGGCAAAAGAAGTGCTTGGACCCATGCCCAGGTCCCCATGGTCCCAATTTACTACAGGATGGTGTTTCCTCATTCACAGAACTCCTTCTTCTCCGTGAAATCTGGGGTGGGAAAGAAAACCATAACAAAATGCAGAGGAACTGCCAGACTTCTTTCAGCCCAGACTTCTTTCAGCCTTGCCCAACACCTGAGCCAGGGTTAGGTGAACGACTTGGAGCCATGAAATTTGGGGTAGAACATCTCAAAATGGGAGGATGATGTGGGCTTTGAAAAGAGGTTGTGGAAAAATCAAGGTGTCACCTGCAAAGCGTGATTGAAAAAGGGAGAAATGATGTGCTAAGCACGCAGAGAAATCGATAGAAAAGCTTTAAACTGACTTTTATCTCGACATTTTTTCCTGGCTGTTTCTTGCATATTTGGCCTTGACCGTTTTAGAAGTAGAGGAAGAAGAGCACAGCTGCTTGAGACATTATTGCACGATTACTATTCTTTTTTTTTCCAGTGAAAGGTGCCAATATTCGTGGTGTTTCTGTGACAGAACCTTTTGAAAGGTGGCAATTTACGGTGGAATGCTTTTTTTTCCCTGAAAATTGTGGTGAAAAAGTTGGAAAAAGCATTCTAAAAGTCACTGAGTGGTCTGCCAAGGAATAATAACTGTGAATGGAAGGGATTTGTGAATGTAGGACTCTGTACAAGGCTGGTCTTAACCAGGTGAGAAGAAATCCTGGTTGTTTTAATGCAGTACTGCTGATGCCAGGCATTGGATGGACACTGGCAAAGCAAGAAACTTTAGGAAATAAGATTTCTTCTGGCTCTGAAGCAATAAATTCAGGCCAGATCAAACGAGAGGTAACCTGAGAGTGGATCAGCCCCATAATTTCAGTGCCATAAAAAATGACTTTCTGTAACAAACCTGGTTGTGAGGTTTGGCTTTGTTCTGCCACATTTCTGTCTCCTTCGAGCACCATAAGGATGTTTCGATATTATTTTAATTCTGAAAATCGAGTTAATCGTCTAATTTTGGATAAGGGATTAAAAAGTAATGGGTTCCTTCTTTCTTTATGAACACCAGAAAGGAAATAATATTGAGAAAAGGACTTGGCTGCTGCAAGCAGCCAAGAATAGTCATGTTGTGAGTGTAGAACAAGCCTGGCAGGGAGGACTGGTCTGGGTAGGAGTCACTTTCTCTGTCCAAAAAGGCTTTTCCTCACGAGATCCAGACAAAATCTCTTTGTGGCAATTACTAGCAGAATATCTCCCAGCTGCCATCAG